TTTATCGAAATTCAAATTATATCCTCCCTACTTTACGAACGGCAATAATACAATAAATTTAGTACGACTTTGTGACCTTGACACTTTGCAGGGTCATAGGCTGAAGGGTAAAGGGCAAAGAAATTGTTCAAAAAATTTTCAAACGTTTCATTAAAAATTTTATTTTTTATTTTTGTAAAATATCAGTGCCATAGGCTTCTACTCCGTTCACATGTTACACCCTATTTCTTTCCAGACGGTAAAAAAGTCATCCAGTATATACAAAATAAACGAATACAATAGACATACATGCGACTGAATAGGCAAATATATATGGAAGTTTTGTATGTTGAGCAGAGAGTTGAGTATAAGAGATTAAGAGTTATAATGATGATGATGATGGGAACCACTGCTGAACATACGAGTAAGCCTGCCCTATACATTGCCTCCATTACCCATAATAATTTTTATTTTTAGTCGTTATCAGGAAAACGCTACTGCCCATCTCCTGATTTGTTTGACACCGACCGGATGATACGGGTTAGTGGATATTCTCATACCACCACTACCCGGTGCGATGATGGTGATGATATGGCAAATATACCTAATAATTAATTATACCTTTTTCAGCATGTAAAAGTCCATTACTGGTCAATGGTCATGGAACTTTTCCGTTATTAGATGCCACGCTGCAGCTATATTATGGTTGTAGCACGAATGGGTCGGCTAGACCGGGGAAGGACTACGCTCTTACAGAATACCAGCGTTAAATAGCAGTTTAATACTGCTGTGTTTTGTGTAGTGAGTGTAGAGATTCGGAGACCCTTGTTACACTGGAAACGAGGCATTCCATCTTAGTCCTCAGGAGTGACAACGGGCCACATCATCCACTTACCATCAGGTGGACTCTGTGCTCGTTTATCACCCTTATTCTATAAAAAAATCGAATGATTAATTTTTTATTATAAATAGGTTATATTTAAGAGGAGTCATATGAATTTAAGTCCCATATGAATTTCATCCCTAGGAGTGGAAAAACAGAGGATGAGGATTTTAATGTAACTATATTAAAAAGATTCTAGTTGTTAACTTAAATTTGTAATATTATCACGCAATTGTTTAATAAAAAGGAAAATAAACTCATAGATAAATAATACAAAAATAATTTTTACGTAATAATCTTCTGAAGTTTGAGCTTTACTCGTAATTCTTAGATAGATAATGTCATATTACTGACTTTAAAACTTGTTATTTAAAAATTATATATTTTTTGTTAGTTTAATGTCGGTTTTAATTTTTATTAAAAGTTTAATTATATAGACGTACAGTATTTCTCGCAATAATATACAAGTTAAGAAAGAAGTTGAAAATACTTGAGGCCAATAATTACTTTACCGTGAAGTAGAGGTGTAAGAAAATTTTTAACTACCACATATCGTCCGGTGGCTGTCCGGGTGTCGTAAGAGGCGACAAAAAGATACTAAACCAGGAGACGAACATCATAACAACTCAAAATAATAAAACTGCAGTTTCCAACCATGGACCTAGAAAAAAGGGCGGACGCCGTCTCTTAAAACAATTACTGACGCACCCATAGTAAGTCAGTTCGTTAATACAAATAAGCCGGGTGTTTCCAACACGCTTGATAAGCGTGGCAATGAATGACAGAATGTTTCTTATACATACCAACGGTTTTACGTGCTTTCCGAGGCACGGGGGTGAGACAGCGTAAACTTCCTGACTCCGGGCTCAACTAAATAATTATTTTTTGGCTCGACCCGGGATTCGAACCCAGAACCTCATGATCAGCAGTTACACTACTACAACCACTAGATCAACGAGACGTATATAGAGGATATATAGAGCTAGTATGGTTATATAGGGCATTCCATCTTAGTCCTCTTAAGTGACAACCAACCTGGAGTCCTTTCTTGAAGTTCGCAGTATGTTTTCATGGTTTGCAGTTGCGATTTAACATCAAGTGAACTATAATTTCGTTTGTTTCTTCAGTTTTATGAAAAAAGGTGCGTAGATTACATGGCTTTTGAGAATACCTGATGACTTTATACCTCGTTCTCCATCCTACTATAGGACAACCACACGCTCGGCCCATTCCAGCCCTTTGTTGTTGCCATAACTCGCATTCGAACCAAACTGTCTGCTTTATCATTGGTAACGCGTATGGTAACGAAATGGAACAGTTTGCCAGTTTATGTCTTTCCTGGCGGTGTAAGAATATCTGCTACCCCATATCATCCCGTGGTGTTGTAAGAGGCGACAGAGGGAAACTAATTAGGAGATGGGCGGAAGCGTATTCCTAATAACGACTAAAAATAAAAAAAACTGCGGTTGCCACTCCGCTTGCCAAGCGTGGAAACTATGGCAAATATCCCCCCTATGATCCCATATATTGGAGAGGCGTATGTTCAGCAGCGTACTTTAAAAAGCTGTAACGGTCACGGTAACGGTATGTCTTTCCATTCGATTACAATGTGGGTGACTTATGTCAAGCTTAATCAGTGCGCTTTATTATTTTCGACCACTACTTATCTTTTGGTGGGATAGAAGTGAAGTGAAGATGGCTTATAATGATTAAAAAATCTTAAATACTGAGATGAAGTTTTTTTGTTACTAGACCTACTAGACTAGGGTTAGACTTTTAGAATAGATTTTTATTTTCTGGTTACTTTCTACAAAAACATTTACATTTTACTACCAGTTGCTGCTTGATTTTATCAGTGACTTAAAATAGGGCTGAAAACGTTCAAGCATTGATAATATTGTTTATTATAAACTTAACTAACTTAAAAAATATAAACGTTAAAACCCAACTTCATATACTGGTTATAGATTGAAGCAACATCAGTGCAAAATTTTTGTGACTTGAACTATGAAGGACAAATAAATGAATGAAATCAAAATTAAAAAGCGTTAATCATTTACAAAATGGTGGACTTAGTTATTGCTAAAATAAATTATCTACTTGTTTACGCTTAGGTTATGCAGAGAAGCCGTTTCCGGTGTAAAGTTAAGCATTGTTGTTGAACAATATTGACATACGAGTCTTACTCGTATTTACCTAAACAACACTGTAGGAAAAAGCTTAACAAATTTAGCTTTTTGACTAGGTTTTTTGATTTCTATATTATAATTACGCATGTGATATTGTGATACGTTACATTTTAATGTGTGTACGTAAAGGAGAAAGTTATTGACTGAGGTGTTGTTTACACGGGGTTTCCTTATTTGGGGACGTTAGATCATACTGTGTTACGTAATGAAAATTCGGGTACGGTTGGCAGAAACTTGTCATAATATTTCACAAAAAGTTTTACTTTAATATTTATAAAGCAATTTTTTTTCTGTTATAAAATATTTTGCTTCTGATCAAAAATAAAATAAGGGGATAATAATATTAAAAATTTAACATTATCATTTTTTTTTAAATAATCGTGTTTAAAACTTATACATAAATAATCTATAAGTTACTAGTATAATGTAATCACTCATGAAAATGTGAGAAAATGAAACAAACATGGTAAATTTTTAACAAAAAAATATGAATACAGTCAATCGACATAATATATTATCTTGAATGTGGCTCAGTGAGAAGAGGCTCGCTTTTTTGAAATCAGTCCAAGGCTGTCCATGAAAAACTGTGTGTTTTTGTCGACGCTACGTACGCCGAGCCCGGAGACCAACATAAATTCGATTATATGCTTTTTCGTCATTGTGAAACGATCGAAGCGTGCAGACAGGGACAGAGGTATAGAAATAGACTGAGAACGGGTATAGTAGTACTGTGCGCATGCGTAGGCACGTGTCGCCGAATGTGAGCCGATTTACACGGTAACAATTTTCGCGGAGTTATCCTGGGATAAATGTGTATTTTAATCGATTTTCCTTTGAAGCGCATAATATTACCTTTAACACACTTTTACAGTTCAGAGTTAGTTTTTACATGTTGCGTCGGGTTAAACTGTTGCGATATATGCCAACGCCTGACTGTAAGTACAGGCTCAGTGCTTTTATAGTTAATATCTCTACCTCAATTATTTTTTTTTGTCAATATGTCACTATATATTAAAAAACGTTATTAATATCGAATACTCCTAATATAATTCTAATAAAAAAATTTTGTTAGTTGTGAATACAATTTCGAAAAGTAAAATAAATATTTAATGTAAATTAAATTTATTATAAGAGTACGTAAAATTGTTTTTAGAAAAACGTATGCTAAAATCTTAAGAAAAATCTTCAGATCAATTCACGGAAGTGTGCTACATCGCGTCTACGCGTTGCGGCGGCGTAGCGCTACGCTTTCGTAGGCCTTGCAGTGGCTACGACGGCTACCCGCCGCCTCACTGGTCCGCGTTCTCAAAATATAGGACACCGTGTCAATGTGTCTCTAGCGCGCACAGACTCCTCAAACACAACAACAAATAATACGGTAGACTGTGATGACGACGCCTGACTAATGAAAAACATAACGACGATGTGAGAACGAACTGTGCCTCGGAACTGAACTATCACTGCCATACGAATTTTCGGCTTACTGAAACGCACAAAGAATCGACGTACGATATCAGAAAATCATTTTTGGTAGGATGTTGACCCCTGACCTAGTTTTGATGCATCTGCGCGGTGCAGTCCTGCAGTGGGCAGCCTAAACAAATCATATACGGAATTAAAGGAAGGTAACCAGCGGAGTGTGTTCAAAGGATTATACCCTAAGCCCTAAGGAGTGTGATACCCGTGTTCATTAGTTTGTAAAATATATCCCGTGAGTATTTATCTTTATATTAGAGCTTCTCTTGTGCAATATTTATTTTAAACTGACTGAACCCGATAAGTCTGATCGCTTCAAGTGTCTTCGCTTCGGAAAGTATTCGTAGTGTTGTGCATCGGTGTCGATAGTGTGTGCAATTCAAATTTTAAGCCCTGTACGAAGAGGGAACAATATGGCGGGCAATAGAGATAACACGCTTGAGGGACAGCTGACGCATGTTATTCAGCATCACATGTCACAGCCCGGCACGGAAGCCCAGGTCAGTGTCCATCAAGTTCAGAGTCCATCCGGGAGCGGAACAAAACGACATCAAATAATTATCGATATTAAACAAGACATCGACATTGATGAAATGTCAACACGCTCACTGGCTGAGAGTGTAATGGAAACACTGGGGGCGCGGTCTGCTGCTGTTTACATCGACAATACGCATGTCGCTGGCGAAAATTCAGACATGGAATCTTTGACGACCGTAAATGTAATTGTTGCCAATGATTTAAGCCAAACAGCATCAAGCCCTCAAGTGGAAGAAACAGAAGTAGGAGATACAAGTCAAGAGGCTTCAGAAAGTTCAGGAATCCTGCCAGGGAATCGAATTGCGGTCGATAGGATCGTGGAGATGACTAACGCGGCTAACACAAACAGCGAAACGTCAACATCGAGCACAGTGTCGATAACAACAGCTGCCACCACTACAGCATCAGGTAATTTAATCTTAGCTTTTAGGTTAATGATATTTTTCCGATTGTATCATCGCATTTATGTAGGTAAAGGAAAAATTATGAATGAGATGACAGGAAAGTAACGTAGGTAAATTTTGGAATTTTATTTGTAACATTTTGACCGGTAATAAATTAAAAAGAAAAAATAGAATATTACAAAAGTTATAACCGTCTTTTTATATTTTTACAAAAATAAATACTAAGGCGGTTAATATTAATGACTAAAAGTCAATATTAGTTAAATTATGTGTTGTAATACGGGCTGCAGTAAATCTTGAAAAATTTCGTATTGTCAAACACGTACATAGAATTAGTAAGGCAACAGTACTTTTTAAAGTAAGTAGTCTTTTGTTACTAGCTCATAAAATAGGACATTAAGATTATGTAGCTTAAAGCTAATGGCGCTATAAATAACTAGACTACAAAGAAAGAGGTTATTTTAGTTTTAGGTTTCAGCTTAGAGAACTGAGAATGGGAAGTTTTAAATTTATATACCTATTGAATTTATGCTGTAGCATAAAATGAAAAGCAAACATCCAGTTAGTTACGAGTTCATTTGTTCGTCTTGGTTGTTACAAAAAGACATCGTTATTATCATTATCGTCGTAATAACCCATCACCAGTCAACTGCGAATATATGCCTCCATCAAGGATCCGTATCCGACTCCGTCGTTGAGTTAATTCCTGGTAAGAGATCTAGAAAGAGTATCCGTCTTTCTGGATCTCTTACCAGAAATTAACTCAACTCAAATGAACTGCTATAACACTTGGTTCATTTGCTTTTATATGTAGATAAATTTAAACGCATCCTGCGTTTAAATTTACGTCTTTTTATTATGTGTTAAACTCAGTCAAATTAAAAATGTAATTCAATAGTGATAAGAATCAAAATGACTAGTGAATTAGGCTCTTATTTTGAAGTTATGAATTAAAAGATATAGAGATCATAGATAATATTTGTTGGAGTGAAATCATTCAAATATCTTCTTAAAGATTGGATGGTTCGGTTTTTTCACTATACTTCAGCAAATATAAGAAATACCTTTCGACAACTGTTAGATTTATTGGACTAGGCATTTCAACTGAAAAATAGGTACCTACAAAATTCGATTCTTGAGAGGTCGATATCGATTCTTTAGAGTTTATAATAATTTACAGTTTTACAAAGATCTAAACCAGAATAAATTAGAAACAGATAACTAAAAACACAACATTTTTGCTTTTTACTAATTTCTGGAGATAAAGTTATATAAATTAAAGACTGCAGATTAGATTAAACACAAAATTATTTAATCACTTTCACTACAACTAGTTGTTGTAGTTGTCAGCATCGTTGTTTACATTAATTATTATTTGATTTTCTACTATGTCTGCAGCAAAATATGGCTGGCGTTTAGCCATATTTCATCAATGAATATAATGTTGTCCTAATTGATTATATTTTTAATTTCTCGTAAAAATGTTATTCTTTGCAGTTATGTCTCTAAATAACTATTTTGTGATTGTTAATTTTTTTTTGTATCGGAAGCCAATTTTTTTTCAAATGGTTCTCAATGACTCTATACTGCCATTGTACAAGCCGGCATCTTCTAAACTTAATCGCAATATCTCCACAGTGGAATTCAGAGAAATTATAAAAAAATAGAATTGTTTAATTCATAATTTAAATAATTTATGCAACGCTAAAAATGAAAATTTAATTAAAGAAATAATAAATTAAAAAATTGAAAGGTTCAAATCATAAACTTATAAAACATAAAAATAAAGAACTGCATATGCTGTAATGGGATATAGATAACTTCATAATTCTTTGGATTTACGTAAAAGATTATTTTAAATCGTGTTAATATGCTTGTACAAAGTTATTGCGGAATGATTAATGTGAAAAGTCAAAAGGTATTTCTTAGATTTGGTTTAGTAGAGTAGTATTTATAAATCATGGATGACTATGGTCATAAATACTTTTACTTTCAGCCATTTAAGTCTACTTTTATACATAGGCCTATCGAAGAAGTTGTCAGGTACACATTTATTGAAAACGTCGCCTTTACACATGCTGGTCCGGCGGGTGAGAGAGTGTTGTATTAATACTCTCGTACTAGTAGTGCAGAGCACTGTCACCAGTCTGTGAGATCTGGTCGACATATTATTTGGATGTTTTTATCCCCAATAGTGTAGGCAGTGCGTCGTTCATCAGCCTGCAGGGTGCCCTACTTGTGATAAAGTTTCAAATTTTAAGAACAATCTTCATAGGCAGCAGTGGCCACTTATCATTAGATAGGCCCTATCTTCGTTTACCTCTTCTTTTATAAATGTTTTTATATTCTTTTTTACTACTATTAGTAAAAGTAGAACTCGTTTGAAACATCTCTTACCACGTGTTAAGCCATGCTACAGCTACGCTAGCTTATACATAGCTGCAGCACAAATAGGTCGCTCAACCGAGATAGGCTCATAAAATACCAGCGTCAAACAGCAGAGTGTTTTGTACTCGTATGTTAATGTGTAGACAATTGGTGACCCTGTTTACTGATCACGAGGCATTCCATCTGACTCCTCAAGATTGACAACGCATCAGCATTTTGGTTCTTAATCGATGATAAATATAAATGCCTACAGGCTATAGCATCCACTTACCATCAGGTGGACTTGTTACCCATTTATGACACTTATTCTATAAAATCTAAAGGCCATATGAAGAGCCAAGGCCACATCAGGATTAAATCATTGATTAGTAACGCTCAATTTTTTTGAAACATTTCTTGCCAATATACTAGGTACAGTCAAGATACTATTTGTAACAAACTTGAAATCATTATAAATATTTTTGTGAAATAACACCTTTAATTAAACTTTTTTATATTTAAAATCATTTGAAGTTCGCTTCGTTTCCTAATTTCAATATCAATTGATACTTATTAGTTTTAATTATCACTACATTAACAGTTTATTTTCCATGTATTTACTGATGAGAATGCATTTTTAGCATAGGGGTAATCAACTAAGTTCTGAGTGTCGGCATCTTAATCCTGTGTCGTAAATGGATGTAACATACATGTTTTTACGCCGTCGTTTTTACAGAAAATTCAGTTTGATGTGTCTCTCGTTTAAAAAGCAAAAGAATGGCCTAAAATTATTGATTTAAAGCACTCTGTATTATAACGACATTGAAGGCATTGAAAGCTTTTGAATTCTTTTAGATATTTACGTATATTTATAATGATGATAGGGTCCACCAGACCCAATTTCGGTCACGGCGGCCAGACTCAACAGATACTGTATACAGAATTTCTTAACTCCGGGCTGCTACTGAGAATTTCAGGACAGTAACACCCAGTACAGAGACAGTAACTAATTTTGGCCCGACCCAGGATTTGAACCCGCAGTCGTGCTTACGACCATTAGAACAACGATTTTCATAAAAAGTACCTAGTACTGACGAAAATATTAATGGAATTAATCTATTAAGTTAAAAATAAGAAAGGAAGAATCTATTAAGTTAAAAATATTAATAGTAATCAATAAGTATTTTAAATATATTTAAAAAGGTGCAAATAAGGTATAAAGTTTTTTTATTGTTCATTACTAATTCGAATTAGAATAAAATATTACTAAATATGTATCTCAAGCCGCTTCTTGTAAATTGTTGAGCGTAGTGCAACTATATATCTGTGATTGTATCTCTCTCTGACGCTGTGACTGTTTTTAACTGTATGTATTTGTAATGTACCCCCAACTTATGTGTTTCTCCAGATATTGTTATAACTTATAAATTTTTATGTTCTCATGATAAGTGAATTTTGTATTCTTAATGAGAATAAAGTTCTCAAACCACGAATTATTAGGTTTTCTTATTATGTATTTTCGTTTGAATTAAATTGTATAAAATAATGGAATTGGTATAGCAACTTCTATTAATACGACTAGCTGTCGTTACCAGTTCGTTTTAACAGAAATCGATTTAGCATATCAAGTGTTCTATATTTTAGTAACATATGTTATCTTTCACGTTTGATATTTTTACTTCTATTTAACCTTTGAATATTGCAGACATAGTTTTATTTTCTTTTCTTTCAAGTCTGGTCTCTATTTGGTTTACTAAATATGATGATGCATAGTATAAAATACTTTTAGAACCGTTACAGCTTGTTAAAGTTCATTGCTGAATGTTATTAGGAAGACTCTGCTGCCCATCTCCTGATTAGTTTCCCTCTATCACCTCTTACGACACCCACGGGATAATATGTGGTAGTGGATATTCTCACAGCGCCACTACTCGTTAACTCTTCGAACAATATTGAATAATTAAAGTTAGAGTATACCTTTACCACCTGTAGTGTATTCTTTTTTTTATAGGATAAGACTGACACACGAGCACTCAGTCCACCTTATAATAAGTGGTTACTGTGACCCATAGACATCTACATCTATCCTCGATAACGAATCAAAATGCAGATGTGTTGTCACCCGTGAAGACTAAGGTGGAATGCCTCGTTTACAGTAAAAAGGGTTTTTTTTTATAGGATAAGACTGACACACGAGCACTCAGTCCACCTGATAGTAAGTGGTTGCTGTGGCCCATGGACATCTACATCTATCCTCGATAACGAATCAAAATGCAGATGTGTTGTCACCCGTGAAGACTAAGGTGGAATGCCTCATTTTCAGTAAAAAGGGTCTCCGGTTCTCTACACTCACCAAACGAAACACAGCAGTGTTAAGCATGCAGTTTACGCTGGTATTCTGTGAGGCGTGGTTCTTCCCCGGTCAACTACGACTACAACTTTACCAGTAATATAGCTGCGGTATGGTTCTACCACGTAATAATCTCTACGTAATAAAGGGGTTCTCTCACTCCACCAAAAAGAGTGTAAGCATGCAGTAGTGGTAGTGAGGCGTGGTTCTGGTAACTAAATACCCATTGTCCCATATCGTTTTATGGATATCGTAAGAGGGGACGGAGGGAAATAAGTGGAAGATGGACTGGAATGTCTTCCTAGTGATAGCAATTTTTTTTAAAACTACGGTAACTATGGTATGAATACATACCCTAGTTACGCTATGAAGCATTCTTTATGAGAGG